CCCTAACATCCCTTTTGACTTGATCCATCTGATATATTGTGATAGGGTGGCCACTTAAGAAGCTTACAATACAATTCATTTAAAATTTATTTACGATTTAATTTGAAAACAACTTTTCAAGCATGGTAAGTTCTGGGGATGCAAAGTCAAGGAGTTTCTAGACTCACAGTGGATACAAGTAAGTAAACAGTGTGACAGTGCTGTTGTATCTACAAGAGCAACCCAAATAAAATGGAGAGAGAGATGCAAATAAAACTTACCTCAAATATTTGTACATTTTTTCCTGTGATTAGGTTCCCTACCTCTACCTTCTACATGTACACAGAGTATCATGTATATTATCAACAACAAAATTATAGGCTCACTCACAAAGTCCCATTTTTAGAATGCATCTATATATGTAATACAAAATTAGAAAAACCAATTCTCTTTTGTATAATGTGAGACAAGCAGAAAGCAGTCCTGATAGGTTATTTTTATGTGTTGCTACTTGCAGTTCACTCTTATATGCACATCAGAAAGGCACTTCTAAATCTAATCTCAAAAAGTAAATATTGCATTGTTCACATTATTTGTACCCACCTTCCACATGGCCAATATCATTTGCTTGTTTTATTAACAACAGATACATCAAAGCCCTAAACTTTGATAATAAAATATACCTACACTTCTGTGTGCCTGTATCTAAAACCACATAGTTATAGGCCATTAAGTTTTCTGGATTGGGCCACACCTTTAAACAATTTGAGACCGTTTCCTTACCTCTCACCTTGCCAATCCACCAAGAATAGTCATTTTGGGGAAAAAAAATGTTTCTTGAATTTGTGAAAATGAACAGAACTCTGGAAATCAGAGGAACTTTTTTTTTTTTTTTTTTTTTTTTCCTCACCCCGCGTCTTGCAGGATCTTAGTTCCCTGACTAGGGATTGAACCCACACCCTTGGTAGTGAAAGCACAAACTCCTAACCACTGGACCTCCAGGGAATTCCCTCAGAGAAACTTTAACTGAGGCATGGCTTACCTGGCTTGAGATGAGCAAATGGAATTTCGCCGGTGAGAAGTTCCCACAGACACAGAGCATAGCTGAAGACGTCAGCTTTGATGGTGTAGCGTGTACACTGTGTGAACACCTCAGGAGCCATCCAGCGGAGGTTCTGTGGGTCAAGAAACATCCACAAGTCATTTACCAAGTGCTTAGTTCTTCTACTGTAGAATAGTGTTCTTCTTAGTGAGGATTTGTTAAGTGTTCTCTTGAAGTTCTCAAAAATATAAACTTAAAATAACATCGATACTGCCCTCAGTGTGTGCAATAAACTGGCCCGTTCATATAAAAACAGTGTGTTTACTGCTGCTGTTTAGGTTTTTAAAGGGCCTCTTCTTTTTATCATTGGAAGATCATGAAATCCATAATTCTTCCCTAAATATTATAACAATATTAATCACCAAGTAACACTGCCTCTTATGAAATGATGATCACAGCAGCAGCATTTTTTTGTGTATCTCTGAGCATCTTTCCCCTGGAAGCCTTACAAGCTTCTGAATAGCCATACATGGGTTCATCCAAGAACTCTATGCCTCCCTGGGGATGAGTCACGCACTGTGGGAGGAAGCTTCCTTCCTTAGAAGTTCAGGTTGTAGTTTAGGAAGTCACTAAATTAGACCCATAAATAGTGCCCTGATGACTGAGGAGAGAAACGGCCTGAGGGTAGTGCCCAGAATATTCGTGTGAAGCAGATTTTTCACTGGCAGGATCAGGTCTGTCACATCTCCTTTTTTTGCCCAGCGGTGTTATTTCTGAATGCTGTTTGTGCAATAGTCCAGAAAGCAAGCCCATAAAACGTTATGAGTTTCCCTGTACAAAGGTCTACCCTCATGTTTTCACGGCATCATTTACACCCTTTTTATTTGTAGTTATGTATTTTTCATTTTTAAATATAAGTTTCCGTTCTGGGATACAAATGCATAAATTTGGTTTATTTGTGGTTTAGGAAAAAGAGGACTAGATTTTGAGTTAGGAGATGCAAATTCTAGTTCTGGCTCTACTGCAGACTATTTGGGCAGTTCCGGGAAAGTCTCCTATGCTTCCTGGACCTCAGATTCCTCAAGGGCAAGACTGAGGAGGCAGCCCCTTCCAGCTCTAAAACCCCATGGCTTCATAGCCGTATCAATGGATTTTGCCAAAATACCTGCTTTCTTTGTATTTCCACTGAAAGAAACCGGTATTCTTTTATTACTCCTAGTGAAATTCTGTGTGTAGTGTTGCCTGCTGATAATTCTTTTGAAGTGTCTACATTATTTTGAAGTCATGCATAATTGCACCTTTCCAAGAATATCTTTATTTAGATTATGGTGCTTATATGCAATTCTTCCACACGAGCTTTCACATTCCAAACAGCCTCCATTTATATAGCATATTATGTGTTGTGTCACAACATTGCATAAGGGGGAATAGGCATACAGTATGGCCATTTTTTTCACAGGGAGGGTAATAGAGTAATTAGCAAACTTACATAAGGCCGCATAACTAGTAAGAAAGAAAATAACCTTCAAAATAAATCTAGAGTAGTGCTGTGCTTAAAGACTCCACTGCTAGGATAAAAGAATATAACTTGCTATTGGTGAAATTCAATTCAATTCCATTTGACAAAAGGTTATTTAGTCAGAGAGTCTCAACTGGCTGCATTTTAGAATCACCTAGGGGAACTTTTAAAAGATGCATGTACCCAAGATCAACCTCAGGCCAGCGAGATCAGAATTGCTGGGGGTTGGATTCAGGTAGGATGCTTTTACAAAGTTTCCAAAGTGATTTCAATGTGCAGCCATGGTTGAGATCCACTGAGTTAAATATCTCTATGTCAAAGGTACCAGATGAGATCTGTGTGTCCTGTCAAAAAAGGACTCACTCTTCCCACCTCTCATGTCCTACCATTCTCCTCCTTGCTTACTCCACTCCAGTCACTCTGGCCTTGACCGCACAAAGGACTCTCCTGCCTCAGGGCCTCTGATCTTACTGTTCCCTCTTCTACACGGCTCTTCTCTCATGGATAACTCCACCATAGGTCTCTTATCAAACATTATCTTTCTCTTTCTCTCATCTAAATGGCTCCTCCTATCACTCTCCATTCATATACTCTGCTTTGTTTTTTCTTCATAACACTTAGCACCGTCTGGTATAAATTTCGTTAATTTGTTCAACGTCTGTCTTCTTCTATTAGAATATTAGCTCCATAAACACAAGAACTTTGTTCACTGCAATATCCCCAGTTCCTTTGAATGTCTGGCATCTAGTCGGTATTCCATAAATACTTGTTGAATGAATGTGTGAAATTTAATTGGGGAAACCATCATGCTTAATCCTACTTACAATACAACATGGTCCATGATGTCATTCCTGCCCTTCCTCTCTTAACTCATTTCTCATTTTGTCTTCCTCACACAGCGCATGCCAACAATACCAAGCTAGTTGAAGTCCCCCAGGAGGTCTGGTGTTTCTCATGCTCCCCTGTGCCTTTGCTCATGCTGTCGTTCACTCTGTCTGAATTTATTTATCCCTATTCATTTCACCTGAGCTCCCATGATGCTTTGTCACATCTCTGTCACTGAACGTCCCCACTGCTTTCAATCTTATCTGCTTATTACTATGTTTTTTTCCGCCAGAAAATGAGTTACTTGAGATCAAGGACTAAGCTTTTATTTGCATTTTGTATTCCTGGCCCTTTGCATGATGCCGGACACACTGTAGGTCCTTGATAAATGTTTGTTGAGTGAGTCAGAGTACTACCTAGCAGTGCAAACAAAGTGCTACAAAAGCACAGAGAGAAAAGTGTGTGGAGAGGAGAAGCAGGGAGGAAGTTTATGGGAGGGAAGGTACTTAAAATGGATAAAATTTCCTGGGCCATGCAAGATGAGTAGACTTCCTCCAGGTGGGGTACAGTGAAGGGCTTCGCAGGCAGAGAATATGATGCTAGCAGAGACACAGGGCTGTGAAAGTGAATGAAATGTTTGGGGAATAGCCAGATGGCTTGTATGCCGGGGGCATAAGGGACTTGAGAGAATGTTTAGTGGGAGAGGAGGTCACAGAGGAGCCTTGGGGTCAGATCTGGCGGGGGGGTATAACATTTTAAGCATCATTGATGGTTTATAGGAAGAAGTGAATTGTCAGAACACAACACTTGGCTGATGTTGCAAAGAGTGAACTGGAAGAGAGGGCTGTAGTTAGAAACCTAGAGCAATGGTCCAGAAAAGAGATGGAGAGGACCCAAACTGAGGCAGTGGTAAATGAGAGTTTGGGATGAACTTTAATAAAGAAAAGGAATAGAAACAAACAGAAAAAGTGATTGAGCAGTGTGTAAGCAGAAGCAGGAAAAGGAAGGAACAGAAAATTAGCCCAAGCTTGGGTAATTAAATAACACTGATAGTCCAGAAAGAAAAGTGCACTTCTTTGTGCAGAAGGGATGGGAGAAAGCAGATGATGAACCTAACTGCAGACATTTTGAGTACAATTATGCTTGCTTCAGATGTTAGCATTTATATTTTTCTTAAACATTAATGCTTGACTATATCACCTAATGCCTTACAATGTTAAAATGGAAAACTATGAATTGTTAGTAGATACGGGTAAACTATGGATTTTATGGTTACCTATTAAATGTTAACTCTACCACTTAATAAGGAGATCTAAACATGAATGCCAATTATCCACGCCTGCCATGTACTTTTCAATTATATTTGAAACAAATTCTGTTATTTTTTCTGTAACATTTTCCAAATATATATCTAATCTATTTCTCTAACAGAGCCTTGAAATAGTTCTTTTGGGGGCTTAGTGAAAATAAAAACATAAAACAATATCCTGCCCTTGGGAGAATGACATTTCTTCCAGTTAAAGCTGCTTTCATCTCCCTTCCTCTCATGCTGAGTTTACACATTTTAATTGTTTCATAATTATAGGGAACACGAACAGCAACAAACCCCAGGTTGTTTTGTCATGTTGTCTTCATCCAGAGACTGCAGAAATCTTGATTCTGAGGGAAACAGAAAACAAATTCATGTCAAAGGAAATATTTTAAAACCAAGGTCAAAGATTACAGCTAAAAGTTTGAAATCCCAAGAAACCTCTATCTTATTTAAATTTTCACTTCCTTTCTTTTAGCTGAGAATATGAAAGAGGAAAAACCGAAATAAATGATATACTTTAAAAATTCATTGAAATATGAATGACTTAGAGAAGTATAGCTGTCAGTGTGAAATCCATTTTCAGATTCATCATATAATATCAGCACCAATGAGTAATGGAGAAAGAAACGGATGCCATTTTGGGCATTATTCATGGAAATCTCACCTCCAAAATCTGCCACCACAGCATGCCCATCCTCATAGAGAAGAATATTGTGACTGTAAAAAAAAAAAAAAAAAGTAGATATTGAGTATAGTGTTTCCTAATCTGAATGGCCTCTCAATGAAGAGGACGCTAATCATCATCTGTTTACCCCAGAGGCTAAATGACTCCCAAAAGGCTAACAGACATCTCAGATTAGTGACTCTGATTTTCTTAGTTTTGCTAATCTGAATGGAATGTTTATAAAAAGTGGTCATTTTATATCTGACTTTGAAAGTATACAAAGTATTCTACTTTATATAAACCTTCCAAACATGTCAAAAAGACCCATTAGCTGAAGATCAGTTTTTCAGCTCTTTGAAGTTCATTTGCTAACAAAATTTGGCTACAGGCAATAGTAAAATGTACCTGTGAGCATATCAGAGTCAGAGCAAGGGAATAAGCTTGCTAGAACCCTAGGCTTATAAGGACAGTTCAAGGCAGCACCTGACATGAATAGGAAAAGGGCTCTTTATGGAAAATGTCTTGGTCATTATGTTCTAGCTAGAATCCCAGGACAAAGAAGTGTTTTTAAGGCCTGTGAAATGAGGCTGGCTAATCTACTTTTTAATGTCTTGGAGAAGAAAACATATAAAGGTCTTCAAAGTCTCCTTTCCAAACCAAAATTCAAGCTAGATCAAGGCTGTCTTTTTCAAGAAGTAAATCAAGGCTGGGGCAGTCCAAAGAGAGGTCATTCCTCCCACATATTGGTGAACTGAGTTGTGGGATATCTTATGGACAAATGTATTGTGACCCAAGATTGTCTTTGAGTGTTTCTTATTGAATGCCTTTTTTTATGCTTATTTCACATTCGGCTTCTAAATGAGTCATTTCAGCATTAGGAGATCTCCTACTGGGTTTCTTTTAGTGCACATAGGTCATACTATATTAATTTATCTGCTCTATCCTTAATTGTTTTGCTTCATGATCAAAAAAGGAAAATTTTATTATTTTCTAGTCCCAAATAAGTCCAGTATGATATTGAACCATTTATATAAGTGCGTCCAGGTGCTGAGTTGAGCTTTATAAGAAAGTTAGTTTTGATCTTCTCTTGTATCCTAAATGAATTTTACCTTTATGGTATACACTTAATCCTCTTTTCAACTACCAAAAGTCTAGAATGTGTTCAAGATTTTTTTTTGCTTGGAAGAGCTCAGTGTAGAAGTAATATAGGATGTTGAAACAAAAACCCCAAGATGTTCTCTTTAGCTGTAAATTACCAATTAATACATGCTATGAGAATGACACTATCATGATAAAGAACTCTACAGCATCAGGAACTCTCTGTAAGTTCAAAGGCAGCAAGAAGAATGCATCAAAATGCTGTACCACTAGATTCCTTGAAGGATTTAGGTGAGTTCCTGTACCACAATCCCTTAGCCTATCAAAGGATAATGAGTGTTACATTTCATAGATATCATTAAAACACATGCTGAACATGAATTACCAATCAAATTAAATGATTATATGTATAATATCCTATCCATTAATGTAATTTTGATTCAAATTAATTATCTAGAACAATGGTTATCAAAACAATTAGCAGCATATTCTCAATATAGAAAACAGATTTGTAAATGGAGCTGCCTTAGTTAAACACAGGGAAAGGCTCACAGAACCCCTACTTAAGCTTCACCTTTTCCAAAAATAGCAGTCCTTGAGGCAATAGCTTAAAACTATGCATGTAGAGAAACTCCCAAATAAGTTACATGTCTAGGGAATATTTTGTTTATTCACTTGCTTGTTTAAATTTCTCTAAAGTAAATATTTTATGTTAACAAGAATAAGGATGATAATACCAGCTAACTGGAGTTGGGGTACTGAAATGTTTAGCAAAATTTTACTCTTCTAGCAAAAGAAACAAGTGAATTTGGTCATTGGGCTGCCCAGTGCTTCCTGGCATGAGAGGCAGGATGTCTCAGGATGCAGGGATTATGCTCATTGTTGTATCTCCATCATTTTTAGCACATGCTTATTTTTGGCACACTGCTTATACTCCTTATCACATTGGAGTACTCAATAACCATTTTTTGAACAAATAAAAGAAACTTAAAATAGAAAGTCACAAGTTTGGAAGGGTAAAGATTACATTAGTTAATCAGCAAGTACTTATTGAATATCACTCATCATTCTATAAATATTTAAAATTCATAGACTCATATGATTGGAAAATAAATTAGAACTAACCTAGTTTAACCCTCTTAGCTCCGGAGGAGGAGTACAAAGCTCAGAGAATTTAAGTGTATCAACAGACATTTTATAAGTAGCTAGTGGCAGAGAAGATATAGAATCCACTTCATCTAGGCCAGCATTTCAGATTTTAGAAAAGTGCCTGGCAAATAGTAGGTGATCAGTAAATTTTATGAATTATTCTTGTGTCATATTATGGACCTTTCCCCAAAGCATGCTATTTACTTTCTCCACATTATCAAGACCCATTGTTGGTGGGAATGTAAATTGGTACAGCCACTACAGAGAGCAGCATGGAGGTTCCTTAAAAAATAAATCACAGCAAGATCCTTTTTGACCCATCTCCTAGAGAAATGGAAATAAAAACAAAGATAAACAAATGAGACCTAGTGAAACTTAAGAGCTTTTGCACAGCAAAGGAAACCATAAACAAGATGAAAAGAGAACCCTCAGAATGGGAGAAAATATTTGCAAATGAAGCAACTGACAAAGGATTAATCTCCAAAATTTACAAGCAGTTCATGCCCCTCAATACCAAAAAAACAAACAACCCAATCCAAAAATAGGCAGAAGACCTAAATAGACATTTCTCCAAAGAAGATATACAGATTGCCAACAAACACATGAAAGAATGCTCAACATCATTAATCATTAGAGAAATGCAACTCAAAGCTACAATGAGATATTATCTCACACCGGTCAGAATGGCCATCATCAAAAAATCTACAAACAATAAATGCTGGAGAGGGTGTGGAGAAAAGGGAATCCTCTTGCACTGTTGGTGGGAATATAAATTGATACAGCCACTATGGAGAACAGTATGGAGGTTCCTTAAAAAACTAAAAATAGAACTACCATATAACCCAGCAATCCCACTACTGGGCATATACCCTGAGAAAACCATAATTCAAAAAGAGTCATGTACCAAAATGTTCATTGCAGCTCTATTTACAATAGCCAGGACATGGAAGCAACCTAAGTGTCCATCAACAGATGAATGGATAAAGAAGATGTGGCATATATATACAATGGAATATTACTCAGCCATAAAAAGAAACAAAATAGAGTTATTTGTAGTGAGGTGGATGGACATAGAGTCTGCCATACAGAGTGAAGTAAGTCAGAAAGAGAAAAACAAATACCGTATGCTAACACATATATATGGAATCTAAAAAAAAAAAGGTCATGAAGAACCTAGGGGCAAGATGGGAATAAAGATGCAGACCTACTAGAGAATGGATTTGAGGACATGGGGAGGGGGAAGGGTAAGCTGGGACAAAGTGAAAGAGTGGCATGGACATATATACACTACCAAATGTAAAACAGATAGCTAGTGGGAAGCAGCTGCATAGCACAGGGAGATCAGCTTGGTGCTTTGTGACCACCTAGAGGGGTGGGATAGGGAGGGTGAGAGAGAGACACAAGAGGGAGGGGATATGGGGATATATGTATATGTATAACTGATTCACTTTGTTATAAAACAGAAACTAACACACCATTTTAAAGCAATTATACTCCAGTAAAGATGTTTAAAAAAAAAACCTAAAAACTAAAAATAGAGCTACCATATGATCCAGCAATCCCACTCCTGGGCATATATCTGGAGGAAACCATAATTCGAAAAGAAACATGCATCCCAATGTTCATTGCAGCACTATTTACAATAGCCAGGACATGGAAGCAACATAAATGTCCATTGACAGAGGAACGGATAAAGAAGATGTGCTACATATATACAGTGGAATATTACTCAGCTATAAAAAGGAACAAAATAATGTCATTTGCAACACAATGGATGGAACAACAGATGGTCATACTGAGTGAAATAAGTCAGACAAAGAAAGACAAATATCATATGGTATCGCTTATATGTGGAATCTAAGAAAAAAGGTACAAATGAACTTATCTACAAAACAGTAATAGAGTTACAAATGTAGAAAAAAAAAACATATTTACCTGGGCATAAGAGGTGGGGAGGGACAAATTGGGAGATTGGGATTGACATATACATACTACTATATATAAAGAAGATAACTAATAAGGACCTACTGTATAGCACATGGAACTCTACTCAATACTCTGTAATGGCCTATATGGGTAAAGAATCTAAAGAAGGGTGGATATATGTATATGTATAACTGATTCACATTGCTGTATGCCTGAAACTAACATAACACTGTAAATTAACTCTACGCCAATAAAATTTTTTTGAAGTGTCAAGTTTGTAGGATATTCCCTACAGAGGTTTTTCCTATATCTACGGTTTAAGTCAAAACCTTAGATAACTAACTGAATTTTAGGATAACACAAAGTCAATAGCAATGTTAATTACCCTTGCTAACTTGACCTTGCCTTAGAAACTTCAGCCTTTTTAACACCACTTCTTTGACGACCTGAACCTTGAGAGAAGAATAACAATAAAACATACAAAGAAGGATAACTCAAGGTCTTTTAAAATTTTTTAGCTTTTCCCCTTTTCTTATTTCTCCAGTGGCTTTCAAATAACAATGGTTGCTTTTGCTTGGGTTTCCCAGCAAAGAGAGATCAAGATAAAAGCATATAAATATATGCTAACATTGGATTGATTTAGCAATCATAAAGCAATGTGGTGATGGAGGCAGCAACTAAAGCAAATCATCCAGAAGCCAAGGAATGCCACAGCTTCTGGAAGCTGGAAGAAGCAAGAAACTGATTCGCCTCTAAAGCCTGTAGCAAGCACTGTCTCTGATGATTCCTTGAGCTTAGCCCAGGAAAACTGATTTTGATCCTCTGACTTCCACAAATGTAAAAGGATAACAATATGTTGTTTTAAAAAAAGGACACTATG